GGATGGATGGATGGATGGATGGATGGATAAATAGATAGATAGATAGATAGATAGATAGATAGATAGATAGATAGATAGATAGATAGATAGATATACAGAACTTCTAACAATGTTATTTCTGACCAAATACAGGTCTACCATCTTCTCTAGACCCACAGCAGCTCCTAATATTATTGCTTGACACCTACACTGACTTGAGGGCCTTGATACTAATGAAAGAAAGAAAATAATGAGAGAAATGTCTATCTTTTTTTCCTCCAATAAACTGAACTGACATACCATAAACACCTTGGGGATCGAGTGTGGTGCCGTCATAACTCTCCCTTCGAATACCTTCGGGCTAAAACGAAAGAACTGGTCAATAGCAATAGTATATTTCTATACCACTTCATAGTACTTTACAACCCTCTCTAAGCGGTTTTCAGGCTCAGAAAACTGCCCCCAACAATCTGGGCTCTCATTTAACCCACCTCGGAAGCAGTGGTGGGATTCAAAATTTTTTACTACTGGTTCTGTGGGCATGGCTTGGTGGGCGTGGTGGGTGTGGCTTAGTGGCAGGAGAAGGATACTGTAAAATTTCCATTCCCTCCCACTCCAGGGGAAGATTACTGCAAAATCCCCATTGCCTCCTGATCAGCTGGGACTCAGGAGACAGAGAATAGAAGGGGGCGAGGCCAGCCAGAGGTAGTATTTACCACTTCTCTAAACTACTCAAAATGTCCGCTACCAGTACTCCATATATATATGTATGTATGTATGTATGTATGTATGTATGTATGTATGTATTTTAGGGGAGGTCTTATTATTTTTGAGGTGCAGGAGGCTTCTTAACCATGGACCGTGGATCAGCTGATCCAGAGAGGGCCAGAAGTTCTCTCTGTTTCTGGCACACTCTCACCTACCGTCGCTGGGTCTGCTCCTCTTTTTACGGCCGCCACTAAGAGAAGAGGTGCTGTAACTAGTGTTTGCAGGAGCAGCCTCCCTGAGGCCGTTCCGTGTGGAAGGCAGATGCATGTGGGGTGCATGGAGCATGTCCCCCCACCCAGGAAATGGTGGGGATGGGATGCACATGCGTTTAAATATTTTTGGGAGGGCTTATTTTGAGAGGGGAGGGCTTATTTTTAGTGCATGCGCTCAAAAGCCCGATTGGGCTTATTACCCAGGGAGATCTTATTTTCAGGAAAACAAGGGATTACTTTGTCACTGAGAGATGGTGCCTTGGAGACAAATTCCTTGAGTGTCCAATCATACTTGGCCAATAAAGAATCAAGAATGAACGGAGATGCGTGGCAAATCCTCCCACTTCCACCTAAGACGAAGGGCTCAGCCTTACCACAACCCTTAGTGTCTTGATGAGGATTTCTCTGTTCAAGCCGTTAAGAAGCGTGAGGTTGACGCTGAGGAGGCCCAGCTCAAGGGGAAGGATTTTAAATGTCTCCACCACAATAGAAGAACTCTGGATATCTTTCGGGCGAGAGCAGATGTTGACCTGAGAGCCATCCTTCAAAGTCTTAGCAGCACCGAAGAGGCAGATCCCTTTTTGCACACTGATGCTCAGGCAAAACTGGGGGGGAAAAGCCACCGTGAAGAATTAGGGATCTTTAAAAGCACAATGACTATATAGCAGTGGTGGGATTCAAATTATTTAACAACCGGTTCTCTGCCCTAATGACCAGCTGGGNTATGTGTGTGTGTGTTTGTGTGTGTGTATGTATATATGTGTGTGTGTGTGTGTGTGTTTTATTTATCTCCAAAGTTCAAATACAAAAAGAGAAATAAGAAGAAAAAGAAACTGCCAATAAAACAACCAAACAACATGTGGGGGGGGGGGAACCGTGTGTACAACAACAAATAACACATTTATTTTTAACATGAACATTGGACATAAAACGTCCACCCTGCGTTTGGAAACTAGTTATCTGGCAGCTCTCCAAACAAGATAAGGTTCGTGTGGATAAACATTCCTCTGAAAGTCTGTTTGCTAAGCCTTGCGGACTGTGAATGAAAGGAACTCACAAGTCATGTCAATAAAAGAGGGACCAAGACTCTGCTTCATGCTTTTTAAAGAAGCCTGGGTCACAGCAGAAATCTGTTGTCTATCAATCAAAACCGAACAAGCCTTCATGCAAAGTTTCATCCTTGAAGAGGAGATTTGTGGGCATCCCGCGGACATTTCTATCAACAGCGCTGGCAGATTCATAGCTCGAAAGATGCTACTTTACCCCTCTTCAACTTCCTCAACAAGGTAAATTCGGACTGGGTTCTGCCCGAGCCAAAGATGTTCCAAGAGTCGGTCCTTTCCAGGTAATCGTACACATAAAACACGGGGATGATATTCATCAATTCTGTTTCGGCGCTGCCTTGGGGAAGGTCAGCGAGCAGCTTCAGGGCTTCGAGCTTCAAGGCAGCCTGGATGACATCGCCCAGCAGGTTGCCTGGGAAGGTGGGGAACCAAGGAAGGAAGGAAGGAAGAAAAGGGATGCGGAAAGGGGGAGAGAGGAAAAGGAAAGAGAGGGAAGGGAAACCACAAGAGATGTGGTTTTTAAAACTGATTTGGCTTTATTAATGGATTGATCATTTCGGTGGCTCAGGCTACGCATGCAGCCCAATTGCAGATGGACAGGTGGAGTGAGGGGAGGAGTATAAGTAGCTCAAGGTTTTCACTCCAGTTGCACTGGGCTCTTTTTTCCTTCCTTCTTTCCTGCTCCCTCCCTCCCAATCCTTCCTTCCTTCTTCTCTCCCTCCCAANGATAGATAGATAGATAGATAGATAGATAGATAGATAGATAGATAGATAGATAGAAGATAATAAAGAATTCCTCACCGTCTAGCGTGACATCAATCTTCAACTGAAAGTCACAAGTGTCTTCAGAAACGCTGCTGACATAATACACGCTTCTCAGCTGCAAATACCCAAATTGGGGAAAAAACTCAAATTAATTTGGAGACTTTGAAGCCCCCCAACCAGTTTCTAGTTACCGTTATAATATCTGTAATTGTCAGAGGTTCAAATTTGTGAAGACCATCAATGACAGTAATATTCCATCTACTACTGCACCTTTCTAGCCAACTTAACGAGAAGAGTTTGGGGTTCAAAACTCAGAGGACGCTGATATCATTGTTTTGTAGCCCAATGGATACGTTGGCCATCCAATTCTCCATTACTTATTTCTATGGTCCTTCTGTCACATTCATCCCGCCAAGCTGGATTTGCAAGATATTTATAATTTTGTGTTTATGTATAGATATTTGGGGTTCTAGATGCAAGAACCACTTCTTAGATCACCTAAATGTAAATGCAAGCAGTCCTTGACTTATGACCACAGTTGAGACGACCATTTGGGTTGCTAAGTGAAACAGATGCTAACTGAACCTTGCTCCCTCGTACGAGCTTCCTTGCCACAGTTGTTAAGTGAATCGGTGCACTTCTTCAGTTAGTACCCTGGTTTGTGAAGTCAATCCGGTTTTCACATCAACTTTGCCAGTCGAAAGGTCGCAAAAGGGGAACTCGCGTAACCGTCATAAGTAGGAGTCAGTGGCCAAAGCAACTGAATTTTGACCGCGTCACCCCGGGGATGCGTGAAGTGTGAAAACAGTCATGTCACTTTTTTCAGCCCCGTTGTAACTTTTAGCAGCCAGCCATAATCTAAACCAGCACATAAATTTGAACGGTCACTAAACTAAACTGTTGTAAGTCGAGGACTGCTTGCAAACGAAGGTGCATTGTTCACTTACAGTCACAGCTGCTGTCCCGGTACTGCTCCCTGTGTGTATGTCTATATTATCCTTCACGGAAGCCTAAATTTGCAAAGAAATGGCAATATATATATATACATATAAAGTATACAGTATACAGTATACATTAATATATCATTAATCCCTATGGCTGCTAAATTCTTGTTAAATCATCATAAACGTGATCTGGATGTTTTTGGCTGCTTGAGGCACAGATCTGGTTTTGTTAGAATCCTGGTTTATCATCATCATCTTCTTTTAATGACCCCATAATCCCTTGCGGGGTGCAGACTGGGCAACTGAACAGCGCTTATTGGCTGGATGCCCTTCCTGTTGCCATTGCGGAGTTTTGTTTAGCACATATATTCTCATTATGCCCAGAGAGAGAGAAATATCTGCCTCTGCCTAGGATCGAACTCACAGCCTGCTGGTTGTGAAGCGAGAGAGCTACACCTCTAGACACCACTTTATCACGATCTGTGAAGTGTCTCTCCAGCTAAGGCATGAAGCAGGGGGATGAAAGCGTGACTTGGGGGGAAAAAGTAAGTGGGACGAGAAGGAGAAATTCCACTTTTTTTCCAGTGCCATCGTAACTTTGAACTGTCACTAAATGAATTGTAAAGGGCCCGTTGTTGTTGTTGTTGTTGTTGTTGTTGTTGTTGTTTTTAAAAAAATGGGAAACTCCCTACTTCTGAACTTCCCGATTGTTCCTGCCAGCCATAATCCAAGGATTCATGGCTGTGGCGGGAACTGGGGAAGGGCAAAGTCAGGCTGGGCAGAGCAGGGGAGAGGTAGAACAAGGGAGAGGGGGTTCAGATGAAGACCAAGGCCCACCCCCTTCCTCATCTTAGGGCATGCAAGGAAGAGCGGAGAAGAGAGCAACGGGGGGCTTGTGCGGCTTACGAGGGAGGAAACGGCCCTGATTCCCTTCGCAAGGCACACCTGGGGATGGAGTTTAAAGGAGAGGCAAATGGGAGGGGCGGTTATCGGGAACAAACGCTGAGATCATCTGGGCTTAACTGCTTTATCCGAGTTCCTGGCATCCTCTTAACTGGTTTGATTTACTGCCATGCTACTTCACTTCTGGAACTCCTTATCTTGCCGGATTAATTACCTTATTTTGCCTTGTTGGATTTATAGTTGGAAGCTTTTTGCTTACAACATTGGGACTTGAGTATTTTCAGCCAAAGGCTGTTAACAGGTTTGGGGAAGAGTTTTTCTCCAGGCCAGAGAGTTGAAAGGGACATTGAGGGCATACTTGGTGTTAATAAAGAGATTCATACCGTTTCTCTGGCTGTGTTGGATTTATAGTTGAAAGTTTTCTGCTTACAACATTGGGACTTGAGTATTTTCAGCCAAAGGCTGTTAACAGGTTTGTGGAAGAGTTTTTCTCTGGGCCCGAGAGTTGAAAGGGACATTGAGGGCACAGTTGGTGCCAATAAAGCAACTCATGCCAGTTCTCTGTGCCATGCCTAGGTCATCGCAGTCTTGCTTAAAACCCACAAATAATATTTCTTGGCCAACGGACCAATTCCTAGATCAAAAACCACTCCAAACACCTGCTTTCTTTGAACTCCCATCCATCCCCCTCCCCGATCCATGAACTCACATCCACAGGCCGGCCGATGTAATTGTGATGCGTGAGCCTGTACGTGTGGAAATCTCCCTGAAATTTGTAAGACGCTTTGACGTTCATGTCCAGCGTGAGCCGTTTAATCAGGATGGAATATTCGGTCAAGCACTCCAAAGCAATAACTGTATCCTGTCGAATCAGTGTGAGAGAGAGGGGGGGGGAGAAACCCCAAAGAGAAAGCATTAGAAGGGAGGCAACCACATCGTGTATTAATTGGGAGGGAAATAAATCCATTTCTGGTTTTTAGGGATGAGAAAATGGAAAATTAGACCCCAACATCTCGATAGAAAGGATATTTTTCATCACCCCGGCTCGCCTCTTCTGCCTTCGAAGTCATAATCACCTCCTAGCATATTATATAAGTGGTTTCTTCATGGGGCTTTCGATTTAATTTTTTTGGATTTAGCAATTAGTTAAGTATCAGTGAGACTCCCCCCCCCCCCCCCCCGTTAAATGAACACCATACCAGGCAAGTAATTCCATGCTAAACGGCACAAAAGTCTGTTCTTAAATTAGAACAGATTATTAAGTGGTTGATTGGCAGGGAACATCTGCTCCCTGCCAATCAACCAAAAAGTTTAAGTCACGGAACTAACTAAGCATTCATTCATGGTTGCAGCTCCGCCTGGAGATAAGCAGAATGCTGCGGGCATTGTCTAGGACAGGCAGAGGTGGTATTAAGCCGGTTCTGACCAGTTCTGGAGAACCGGTAGGGGAAATTTTGAGTATTTTGGAGAACCGGCAAATACTTCCTCTGGCTGGCCCCGCCCCTGATGTATTCGCTGCCTCCCAAGTCCCAGCTGATTGGTTGGGTCTTCTTTTGTTGCCCTGCACAGGAGAATGGAGCTAGAAAGCAGGTTAGTGGGATGGGGAGGGAATGGAGGTTTTGCAATATTCTTCCCCTGGAGTAGGGAGGTAATGTGGATTTTGCAGTATCCTTCCCCTGCCACGCCCACCAAGCCATGCCCACAGAACCAGTAGTAAAAAAATTTGAATCCCACCACTGAGAACAGGGGGCATCAAACTCAAGCCCGTGGGCTGCATCCAGCCTGCGGGGCTGTCCTAGTGTACCCAATTGGAAAAAGAAAAATCAGGCCAATGTAGCTTTGGCTTAGTCTACTCAATGCGAAGAGGGTAAATCAGGCCAGCACTGTGGGGAGTAACATCAAGCTGGCCATGCCCACCCAGCTGGCCACACCTCCCTGGTCTCCCCAAGGTCAACCACAGCCCTGATGCGGCTCTCAATGAAATTGAGTTTGACACCCTTGGTCTCAGGGGTTGTCTAAAGCTGTAAGGATGCTCAAGGTTCCTACGGTTGACCTGGAGGAAGTGGGAGAGGGAGAGCGCTGATACCTGGGTCGAATAAAATCCACCCCCAAATCTCTGCTCTTCGGTCAACCATTTCATGACCGACTTGGCGTAGTTGTGGTCGCCTTTCAGCAAAATGGACAGCAAGACGTAGGCGGTGGTTTCAACCATCCTGGCGTTGCCCTCAGAGGGAATGCTGGCGTCGAATTTGACGGGGGTCTCTTTCCAGAAACGGTAGACTGGAGGGTTTCCTGTACATGGGAAATAACAAGAGATAGAGCATCACAGAAGGGATGGGAGAAACTGTCTCACCTCTGAGCCTAGCCAAAGAACCAAAGGACCAACGAGAATATGTCCCCCTGGCTTCTTATTCTTAGCAATTGCTACAAATCTGCCTTCTACCGAAGACCTGTATATTGCACGAGTCAAAAAAATATCTACAGACCCCTCGAACCCTGGACATAAAATGTTTGAACTCCTACCCTCAAACCAAAGTTATATAGAGTACTGCACAGCGGAACAACTAGACCCAAGGACAGGCTTTCCCTGAACGCCCTCACTCTGCTAAACAAATAATTCCCTCAACACTGTCAATAATTTACTAAGATTGTATTACTATTCTTCTTCTCTTCCTTCCTAATGCCTGTCTCTCCCCACTTACGACTATATCCATGTTGCTTCTATCTTTCAATTTATATTGTTCTCATTGGTTTCCTAGTATGATTTGATAGTTTATTAGTAACCTGTGACTATCACTCAGTGTTGTATCTTTTTATTCTTGATGAATGTATTTTTATTCTCCTTTTGTACACTGAGAGCATCTGCACCAAAGACAAATTCCTTGTGTGTCCAATCACACTCGGCTAATAAAGAATTCTGTTCCATTCCGTTCCATTCCATTCTATTTTTATGGTGTTTATAAAGGTGAACCATCATCTTCTTCTTTTAATGAGTCCATAATCCCTTGTAGAGTAGAGTCTGAGAAACTGAATGGAGCTAGCTGAGTGTTTTACTGGCCAGATGCCTTCCTGTCACCAATGCGGAGTTTTAGTTCGGCAGATACATTCTCATCATTCCCAAATGAGAATGGGGCTCTCTACCTAGGATCGAACTCACAGCCTCCTGATTGTGAGGCGAGAGCACCACCTCTAGGCCACCGCACGCAGCTGGTGAATTGAGTTGATATAAGGAGGGCTTTACCTTTCACTTGAGCTTCATTCTTCAAGCGAAGGTAGGCTGAGTGGAGGTCAGGGTGGTTGATCTTTGCTTGAGTGAGAGCATAAGTCACGATGGCTAAGACAAAGGTGTTTTGCGACTGTGCAACGTTTTGCAACAAATAATTCACAGCTTTGTTTTCAGCATCTGCAAATTTCTGTAAAGGAAGTAGAAAAATAGGAACCACCTTTAGAATTAGAATTAGAATTAGAATAAGTTTATTTATAGGCCGCCCTTTTCCCTGAGGGGACTCAGGG